GGTAGTTTGGTTTTTGTACTGTTTTTTTACAGGTACCATATCAACTGATGTTACGTGTACGAAATAATCGGCATCCATCAGAGGAATTGCTTTGTGTGACATATCAAATGCGGATACATTATTGAGGAATCATCCGGTCACCAATTTTTAGGTTTTTGGTTCTCTGCCTCAACACTCACAGTAGCAGCTGTTCAAGAAAAAAAAACAAAAAAACTCATTCTTGTTTGAACTGATCTTTTTGCAGTAATCCAAAAAACACTTGAGTTTTTTGATTATAATAATTGATAGTAATAATAACAATGCTAATAATAATAATAATAATAATAATAATAATAATAATAAAGAGTAATAATAATCGTAATAATAATAATGCTTATAATAATATTATTAATAGCAGTAGTGAAAACGTTAACTGAACAGAAATACTCTTTTTAAAAGTGCTATAAAATTTTCAAATAAAAATTTTGACTTTTTTGTTGTATATTTTGGAACATTTAATTCTTTGAACAATTTATTATGCTATTATATTGTGCGATACCTATGCTTTCATCGTTGTTTTTTTTTTATTATATCGCTTATTTAGTCTCAATTTTTTTTTTTTGGTCGACAAACCGAGAAAAAAATGAATGCTTAAAAGGTAAGCAGAATAAAAAAAAAAGAAGGAACAACAAAATAAGACAGAAAAAATTATAGTTCATTTTTTACGTAAAAAACGTAAAAATAACAAATACAATAAATCTATTTTTGATAAATTGCTGTTCAGCTGAAATTCAATACATTTAGTTTCGTGTGTTTTTTTTTTCTTGAATAACTAACGTTAAACCATTGAAAAAAGGTAATCAGTTCAGTTAAAAAAAAAGCCGAGTTTGTAGAGCACAGATTTGCAGCAGATAAATTGGATACATTACTGAGTATTTGGTTACATTTTTTTGCAGAAGAAAGTATTTTCCAAATAGTGGCACGAATTTTATAAAGTTTTATTGATAAAATCTGTTCATTTTCTTTTTGCTTTTGCAGCTAAAATTTCTACCAATAACAGCGACGATAATGAGTGATAATAATAGTTCTCTGTTTTTTTCGTTCTAATATTAGTTTTTCTATATATACGTTTTTTTTATTTATATTTATACACTGTATTAAAAAAATGAAACAAACAAGAGATGCTAATAATGGTGCTAAGTTTTCATAATGTGCTGTTCTTGTCTTCCACTTAATTTTTGCATGTCTAGTCTGCTTGATAAACTTCTGTAGATCGCTAAGTGTTGGTTGTAAAAAGTGATTAAATAACTGCTAGAAATGGTCTATTTTGTCAAGCTTTAAAACTGCTATTTTCACCAATGCATTCAGTTTTTTCTTTCATTCATATCAAATTTTGTAATTCGTAACTTTTCTTTTAAAGTCACTGTTAGTTATGATAAGAAAAAAAAACGAAGAAATCATTAGCTATGACTGCAACTTTTGTACAACCAAAAAAAGGCATCACTGCAGTTGTTCAATGTTCAAACTGTTGTTGTTCTTATAAGGTTTTTTTCTGGTCAAAACTATAATCTTATACTAACTGCAGTTAACGTCTGAAAGTCATTTGGTACAGTAATCCATTACAGCAAATATTCAGTACCAAAAAAAAAAGAACTGTTACTTGACAAAAATTTTTTATATAAACTTTTTGATACATATTTTTTTATCACAAATATTCAAATACAGTCAAACAGATCTGAACAAAATTGAGGAGAGGAATTCATACTTAACAAACTGCTAAAAAAAAAAGACCTAAAAAAGTTGTCTGTTTAAAATAGCAACCTTATCGTTGTTGCAGAAAAAAAAAAAAAAAGCAAAACAAATTTATCATAAAAGTATTGAACATTAGTCAGTAGTTGTCAACAAAGAAATTAATTTATCATTATCTAGTGCTTTTTCTTTCCTTGTATTTGATGGCTTCTTTAATTTTCCAAAAAGAAAGAAAAGATTAGAAAATAAAGAAATTTCTTCTTTTTT